TAGGCAAGCCGGGGGTGGGGGGATCACAATCTGAGTGGGCGGGCAGTGACGGGGGGGCAGGTGAGCCGGCGGCGGGGGAGGGAGGGCTGAGGAAGCGAACGGGCGGCGGGGGGTGAGTAGGCGAGCCGGGGAGAGCGGGCGGGCAGTGGCGGGGGGGCTTTATACTGGGGGGGGGTGAGGAGGCGAGCGGCGAGTTGGTGGCTGACCTGTTCTACTGATCTTGTATCTCATAAAAATTGGTCCTTTTTGCTGCTTTTCTCTGGGCTGGGGGTTGTCCCAATGCTGCAAAGAGGGCGTTCCCAAAGGAAGATGCTTGCTTCTAACCCCCGAGGCCGTCAGTATGTCTGCTCTTCTCTAGTCAGCCCACCTGACAAGCTTGATTGTCCTTGGTCTGACTCCCAGCCCCTCTCCAAGGGTTGCAGCTGTCCTGGAGGTTTCTGCCTTCCTCATTCACACCTCATTCATTCAACAGGGCAATTGATTACAAGGTGGGGGGAAGATCTTATTCTACTTCTAGCAAAAAGACATTTTTCTTTTACCTTAATTATACTACCTTAGGGGCCCGCTATAACATATTACCAAGGTTCAATACAAAGTCATATAAAAGTTATACAAAAATGCATAATGCAGAGATTTATCTACAACTGCATTGATTGACTGCTGTGTGCAGTAATATAGTGACCCCATGGTCTTTGAATGAGGCTTTATATTTGGGGGGGGGGCGAGCGGCGAGTCGGAGGTGGGGGCTGTGTTTCAGGGGGGCTGGGCAGCGCTGGGGGGGGTGTTTCGGTGGGGCCGGGGGGTTTCGGCCCTCAGCTGTTTTCTTTGGAGTAATATGGCCCTCGCCGCTTTATGAGTTGTGCGGGCCTGGACTAGATGATCACAGTGGGTCCCTTCTGGCATTGGAATCTATTAAACTTGTAGAGGGAGGTTCTGGCTTGGCAGGTGTGGAGTATTCGGGTTAAGTGCTAATCGGGTGAGGCTGTGAGAAACATGTGTGTTGATATTTATGCAAAAAACTGCAGTAGCTTTGCAGGGCTGCAGCTGCCAAGAGAAACCTCCATAAATCACAGCCTGACGCACTGCTGCTCCTCAGCGGCTGGTACATGCTGTTATCCCCACGCTGGCAAAGCTAGAATGGCTTGTGTCAAAGCAGGAAGCTCGCACAACGTGCCCTGTAAGCCCAGGAAGATTCTTTTTTTTTTCCATAGAGCCCCCCTTCTCTTGTTCTGATTGACGAACAGGTTTCTGATAATCTCTCCCCAACCCAAACCAGCCTGAATGGTTCCCAGAGTGGAATTGCTCAAGGGTCTCTCCCGGTACCATGCATGTAGAATGTTTTTGCCACAGAATCCTTGAGCCATTGAAGCCATGTTGCTATCCCTATCAGTTGAACCATATTTTTTCCCTGGTGGAACAATTCTGCCCCATTCTTCATCAAGTGGAACTGTGAGCTGCCCTTCCCAAAGCCCCTTTCTCTGCCCTGTAGTCAAGCCTCTTAATGTTCCTCTCTTAATCTGTCTTCACAGTTCTTCACTTGCCTGGTGATCCTGTTTGCTTGTGAAGTGGCTGCTGGAATCTGGGGATTCGTCAATAAAGACCTGGTAAGAAAAATATCTCTGAAACCCTTGTTCCTATGCGATCATGCGGGTTGTGCAAGAGTCTGCTATGGTTCGGTCCCAGCTGGTGGAAAGATCCTCTTGTGCTTGAGGCATCAGACTGAGACTCAGGAGATACAGGTTCAGTTCCTGGTTCTACCACAGACTCACTATGTGATCTTGGGTAAGTCACTTAACCTTTCTGTGCCTCACTCCCCCTCCCCCACACCCAATGTACAGTGCCTAGAAGAATGGGGCCCTGATCTCCGCTTGATTCTCTAGGTGCTACTGCAATACAAATAACACTAGTGGACCCTTGCATGGTGTTTTGGAGTGTAATGTGGGTGTGCATAGATATATGCTGGGGGGGGGGGAAATAGAGCAAACCTGGCTGCATAGCACGAAGGGAATCTCTGGACTCTCACAGCACCAAACCCCAGTGGGTATTCTTGCTCAGGGACCAGGTTACATTGTAAGAAGGGATCTCTTGCAAATTACTGTTCCTCGAAAGTGCAGTGTACATGCTGTGAATTTTCATCATGCCAGGAGCAGATTGCTACTGCCTTAGATTCCGTGCATGCACAAGATATAGAGACCATATACAGGCCAGGCACTGTGTACTGGTCACTCACACATGAGGTGGGAATGATGGACCTACTCCCTGCCAAGCCTATGTGGACTTTTCAGCCTGAAATCTCAGTATTCAATGTCTAACCCTTGGAGCTTCAGGATGAGTATGTGTGTTCTGAGGAGCCTGAAATGAAGGACATGACCTGAGTAAACTTTCTTTTCGCCTGCCCACAGAAGCACCACTTCCCTTTCTTCTCTCTTCCCCTGCCCCTCCTTGAAGACACACACAGCAGCTGCCTTGTGCTGATACCCACCTACCAGGCACCAGGTCACTTCTCTACATAATGTCACTTGGGTCTCCATGTTGATTCCTCCCTGTCTTCAGCCCTGCACTGCAATATGCCCTGTCTTCTGGATTGAGATATGCTGGAGGGAAGATCTCTCATCAGGGATCAGAGTAGTGTTCCCTAAAGAGGGGCGGTAGGATTGGGCTGGCTGCACCTTTTGAGTCCGGACTTGCCCCTACCTTTCTTCTGGCACAGCACTCCTCAGAAACTGGTGTAACATGCACGCATGCTCCAAGGATTGACTGTCTCTCCGTAAGAACTTTGGCAATCCTGCAGTGAGGCGGGAATTAGACATTAATATTCTAGTCACTTCAAGAGTTCAAGAAGGGGGGTTCAAGAAGGGGGTTCAAGAAGAGTAGGGATTTACTGTGCTTGGAGAAACAGTTAGCATCAGATGGGATGGGGGTGAGAGTTGGAAAGTCAATTGCTTTATTAAGAACTTTAATTAAACTACACAAGCAGGTGCTTGTCAGTTCCATTTGAGATCCATTTGAGAGACCTCACTCACTCGGCTGTGGATGGAAACATTCAACCAATGATTCATAGGAGAGAAGCATTACTTCATTAGAAAAAAACTTTGTGGCTAAGGATATGAACCCTTTCAGGATGGTTGTGGGCTATGTAAATGTTACTTTGTCTGGGTATTGTTGGTGAGAGGCCAAGAGGTGACAAAAAGAATAAAGTCCAGTTAGGAATTTGCTATTGATTTTTATGTGGAAGACGCTCCGATACCAAGGGGATGGGCGGCAGTATAAAACCCTAAAAGAGGACAGGATTTGTCAACCTGATGAGAGCAGTGGTGTCTGCAACGTGTGATGTAATTTAATATTTTAATATGAATGGGGGTAATTCAGGCTCTTGATCACTTTTTGTGTCTGTTCTCCCTGCCCTCAGGGGTGTAGTGGCTGGGGACCTTGACTAATAATGCTGACAGTCTGTTTCTACCCTCTTCCCTCCCCTCCCCCCCATCCACCCTGCTGATGAACCTCCTAACTAACATGGGGGGAGCTGGGGCTGATGGGGGCATTCTGATCAAAGAATAGGGTTACCATATTTTGAGTGTCCAAAAAGAGGACACTCCACGGGGCCCCGGCCTCGCCCCAACTCCACCCCTTCCCCCAAAGTCCATGCCCCAACTCCGCCCCCTCCCCTGCTTCCCGCGAACATTTGATTCGCAGGAAGCCTGGAGCAGGAAGCAGGTAAGCTGCGGGGGGGGGGGGGGGGGGGGGGGGAGGGAGGAGACACGGCCCACTCTGGCCCCCTCTGGCAGCCGGCCCCGGCCTCTCCAGCCTGGCTCGGCTCGGGCCCTGGGGTGCCGGCCCCGGGCCAGCCCCCGGCCGAGCACCCCCGAGCCAGCACCGCCGGCCCCTGGGCCGGCCCCAGCCCGCGGCCCAGCACCCCCGGCCCAGCACCGCCGGCCCCGGCCCAGCGCACCCCCCCAGCGGCCTGGCCCGGCGCGCGGCCCGGCCGCCCAGCACCCCT